CTTTGACAATTTTGAGGGCCTTCCTCTGACACCGCCTGGTATAGAGGTCCTGGATGGCAGGAAGCTTGGCCCCAGTGATGTACTGGGCCGTACGCACTACCCTCTGTAGTGCCTTGCGGTCGGAGGCCAAGCAATTGCCATACCAGGCGGTGATGCAACCAGTCAGGATGCTCTCGATGGTGCAGCTGTAGAATTTTTTTAGGATCTGAGGACCCATGCCAAATCTTTTCAGTCTCCTGAGGGGGAATAGGCTTTGTCGTGCCCTATTCATGACTGTCTTGGTGTGTTTGGACCATGATAGTTGGTTGGTGATGTGGACACCAAGGAACTTGAAGCTCTCAACCTGTTCCACTACAGCCCCGTCGATGAGAATGGGGGCGTGCTCAGTCCTCTTTTTTTTCCTGTAGTCCACAATCATCTCCTTTGTCTTGGTCACGTTGAGGGAGAGGTTGTTGTCCTGGCACCACACGGCCAGGTCTCTGACCTCCTCCCTATAGGCTGTCTCATCGTTGTCGGTGATCAGGCCTACCACTGTTGTGTCGTCGGCAAACTTAATGATGGTGTTGGAGTCGTGCCTGGCCATGCAGTCATGGGTGAACTGAGAGTACAGGAGGGGACTGAGCACGCACCCCTGAGGGGCCCCCGTGTTGAGGATCAGTGTGGCAGATGTGTTGTTACCTACCCTTACCACCTGGGGGCGGCCCGTCAGGAAGTCCAGGATCCAGTTGCAGAGGGAGGTGTTTAGTCCCAGGATCCTTAGCTTAGTGATGAGCTTAGAGGGCACTATGGTGTTGAATGCTGAGCTGTAGTCAATTAATAGCATTCTCACATAGGTGTTCCTCTTGTCCAGGTGGGAAAGGGCAGTGTGGAGTGCAATAGAGATTGCATCATCTGTGGATCTGTTGGGGCGGTATGCAAATTGGAGTGGGTCTAGGGTTTCTGGGATAATGCTGTTTATGTGAGCCATGACCAGCCTTTCAAAGCACTTCATGGCTACAGACGTCAGTGCTACGGGTCGGTAGTCATTTAGGCAGGTTATCTTAGAGTCCTTGGGCACGGGGACTATGGTGGTCTGCTTGAAACATGTTGGTATTACAGACTCAGTCAGGGACATGTTGAAAATGTCAGTGAAGACACTTGCCAGTTGGTCAGCACATGCTCGGAGTACACATCCTGGTAATCCGTCTGGCCCTGCGGCCTTGTGAATGTTGACCTGCTTAAAAGTCTTTCTCACATCGGCTACGGAGAGCGTGATCACATAGTCATCCGGAACAGCTGGTGCTCTCATGCATGCTTCAGTGTTGCTTGTCTCGAAGCGAGCATAGAAGTGGTTTAGCTCGTCTGGTAGGCTTGTGTCACTGGGCAGCTCGCGGCTGTGCTTCCCTTTGTAGTCTGTAATAGTTTTCAAGCCCTGCCACATCCGACGAGCGTTAGAGCCAGTGTAGTACGATTCAATCTTAGTCCTGTATTGACTCTTTGCCTGTTTGATGGTTCGTCGGAGGTCATAGTGGGATTTCTTATAAGCGTCCAGGTTAGAGTCCCGTTCCTTGAAAGCGGCAGCTCTACCCTTTAGCTCAGTGCGGATGTTTCCTGTAATCCATGGCTTCTGGTTGGGGTATGTACGTACGGTCACTGTGGGGACGACATCATCGATGCACTTATTGATGAAGCCAGTGACTGATGTGGTGTGCTTCTCAATGCTATCTGAAGAATCCCGGAACATGTTCCAGTCTGTGCTAGCAAAACAGTCCTGTAGCTTAGCATCTGCGTCATCTGACCACTTTTTTATTAACCGAATCACTGGTGCTTCCTGCTTTAGTTTTTGCTTATAAGCAGGAATCAGGAGGATAGAGTTATGGTCAGATTTGCCAAATGGAGGGCGAGGGAGAGCTTTGTATGCGTCTCTGTGTGTGGAGTAAAGGTGGTCTAGAGTTTTTTTTCCCTCTGGTTGCACATTTAACATGCTGGTAGAAATTAGGTAGAACGGATTTAAGTTTCCCTGCATTAAAGTCCACGGCCACTAGGAGCGCTGCATCTGGATGAGCGTTTTCCTGTTGATTTAAGGCCTTGTACAACTCATTCAGTGCAATCTTAATGCCAGCATTGGTTTGTGGTGGTAAATAGACAGCTATGAAAAATATAGATGAAAACTCTCTTGGTAAATAGTGTGGTCTACAGCTTATCATAAGATACTCTACCTCAGGCGAGCAAAACCTCGAGACTTCCTTAGTATTTGATTTTGTGCACCAGCTGTTGTTTACAAATATACACAGACCGCCACCGCTTGTCTTACCGGAGTCAGCCTTTCTATCCTGCCGATGTAGCGTATAGCCCGCTAGCTGTATGATATCCATGTCGTCGTTCAGCCACGACTCGGTGAAACATAAGATATTACAGTTTTTAATGTCCCGTTGGTAGGATAACCGTAATCTTAGGTCATCCAATTTATTTTAAAATTATTGAACGTTGGCTAATAGGATTGATGGAAGAGGCAGTTTACTCGCTCGCCGTCGGATCCTTACAAGGCACCCCGATCTACGTCCACGATATCTCTGTCTCTTCCTCACACGAATGACGGGGATTTGGGCCTTGTCGGGTGTCTGTATGATATCCTTCGCGGCCGCCTCGTTGAAGAAAAAATCTTCGTCCAATACGAGGTGAGTAATCACTGTCCTGATATCCAGAAGCTCTTTTTGGTTATAAGAGACGATGGCAGAAACATTATGTACAAAATAAATTACAAATAACGCGGAAAAACACACATAATAGTACAATTGGTTAGAGGGCTGTAAAACGGCAGCCATCTTCTCCGGCGCTGTTTGGTAGGTGATCAAATACTTATGTCATGCAATAAAATGCAAATGAATTACTTAAAAATCATACAATGTGATTTTCTGGATTTTTGTTTTAGATTCCGTCTCTCACAGTTGAAGTGTACCTATGATAAAAATTACAGCCCTCTACATGCTTTGTAAGTAGGAAAACCTGCAAAATCGGCAGTGTATCAAATACTTGTTCTCCCCATTGTATATATTGAAAAAGGATGAAAAAGATTTGCTACGTTTCTATGTGGAATTTTCAACCCAATCTCAACGTATACATAGATCTGATGAATATGTTGGAATTACATTGATGTAACAGTTAGGTTAAGTCAATGTATTTAAGCAGAAGTTTTATCCTAATTTCAATATCTACACTGCTGGTTGAAATGAGATGAAAACAGTACTGGTTGATTACTTTTTTCAAGTCTAATGTATTTTCCACATTGATTCCATGACACAATACGTTGACAAATTTTGCTGAAACAAAGTTGATTCAACCAATGTGTACCCGGTAGGTTGCTACCATGCTATGTGCCAAAACATCCTTGTCTGAGCTCCTCTGTTTCCTGCGCTCACTTGGTAATGTTACATCAGTCTGAAAACTTTAGAAGCAATTTGTTGTTGAAAAGCATTTGCTTATGTTTTTCCACAGCTCCTTGTGAGAGTCGAAGGCCAGGCTACCTTTTGGGACAATGAACATGTCTTCACCAAGGCTTGGGGGACCATCTGGCATTTCACATTCTCCACAGAGTCTTGGCTGGAAGTCAGGAAACACGGCAATGGAAAGAGGAGCTCCCTCCCATTAGCCTTAATTAGAAGGTACTGACAAAGGTCATCCATGGTGGGACACTTGTTGTGAAAATAACACATGGCATCCCAGGGACTTATTAGACCGTCTATGGAGATAGGAACTGAAGTTCATCACCATAAAGTATGTCTCTGTTTGAAAACAATAATGAAGCAAAATCCCATTACACATCACTCATCAATTTAGCCCTCGAGGGTACACCATAACTCATCTCTGCCCAATTACAGGGTGACTGCTCTCAGGTTGCAATGATCCTACGAGTCTGTTCAGAGTTATGAAGAAACAACACAGCGAACATTTCAGTCTTTATTCTGTGCCAGAATACAGAGAGTCTATGAACATTACAAAATAGGTAAATACATAAGAAGGACAGGTTACCAAATATAGGGGTAGAAATCTTTCCATCACGTGGTCGTTTAATACAAGACTAAACAAAGAACAACAAGAAACTAAAAAGGCCATCTTGTTCATTTACATAGCTCAGTGACATTCTCTCTATCCCTCAGAAATGCAGTAAAATGCATAAAAGAGAGGGCAAATCAATTAAACTGTAAAAAGCTCACTCCATTTAAAATAAACCATAGCAAAGGTGGGGCATAAACTTCCCTTTGTTTTGGGTGGTAATTTGATTTCACATAATATACCAATAAATTAATGACCTCATTCAATTTCATACATAGTTACCCAGTAAGACAATTAATGTGATCAAATTAATACAGTACTTGATCTCATCCTCTTGACAGTAATGTTTTGGTTTGATCTGGGTAATTGTGACGCTTGATTTCACTTTTGTGAATCCAGGAACCATTCGTTGTACTCTTTTTGACTGTGCTATCATTCATTCCTCTACAAATATTGCATTATATTACTTTCTATGAATCACTGATTGGTGCTTTGAAATTGACCTTGGCTAGATCATATGGAGTGGTAATAATAACGCTTCTTAATTTCTCTTTTCTCAGATACCTACTGCTGGTATAAAAATAGCCATAAATACATCACATTTAACAAACCATAATAAACAGATCAAGTATAAATAGGGCACAGAGAAAAACTGGTATCTGGTGTGTGAATGGAAAAATACTGTGTTTAAGTTATAAGCAATGGCTGTACTTTCTAGTTGCCTGTGCTTACATCTAGAGTAAGTAGTGTGCCAACTGTTCCTATTGATGTGCTTGACATTACTTAAGTCCAGTGAATGTGCACATTCATGCTCTGATACGAGATACTGTACATGAAATATTGTTTTGGGTAATTTACATCATGGAAATTCAATAGGACTTGTTTTTCCCCGTTACATTCTTGACAGGAAGAGTGCTCTATACTCAATGCATCTCCACATCCTTGTTGGGTTACATGGATGACACCCCTCATTTTCGTGACAGCAGCTGGTTCTCCAAGTGCTCCAATCGAGCAGTCATCCCTGCCAGTAGAAAAGGGTTAAGGAAATATACACATAATTCAATTTTATGGTCAAATGGGCTGTACGAATTAAGTTGGGCTGAGTTAAATGTTGAATTGAATGATATTGTGGTCAGTAGTAGAATAATCGGATGGTATTATAATGGGATTCATTTTGGTCCGAATCCTAACTTGAAATGTGTGCACTAAACTTGGACTTTGGCATAAATCATGCATTGATGTTGACGGGAAGATCTGTGCAAAAACTTGAGTTACACACACTGACGTAATGGGCCAACAGTATATCACTTAAATGCATATATATTAAGAACCTAAGGTACATTGCCTTCGGAAAGTATTCAGACCCCTTGACTTTTTCCACATTCTGTTAGGTTACAGCCTTATTCTAAAATGTATTAAATAGTTTTTTCCCCTCATCAATCTACACACAATACCCCATAATGACAAAGCCAAAACAGTTTTTTAGAAATGTTTGCTAATTTATACAAAAACAAAAAACTGAAATATCACATTTACATAAGTATTCAGACACTGTACTCAGTACTTTGTTGAAGCACCTTTGGCAGCGATTACAGCCTCGACTCTTTTTGGGTATGACGCTACAAGCTTGGCACACCTGTATTTGGGGAGTTTCTCCCATTCTTCTCTGCAGATCCTCTCAGCTCTGTCAGGTTGGATGGGGAGCGTTGCTGCACAGCTATTTTCAGGTCTCTCCAGAGATGTTCTAGTCCGGGCTCTGGCTGGGCCACTCAAGGATATTCAGAGACTTGTCCCGAAGCCACTCCTGCGTTGTCTTGGCTGTGTGCTTAGGGTCGTTGTCCTGTTGGAAGTTGAACCTTCACCCCAGTCTGAGGTCCTTCGTGCTCTGGTGCAGGTTTTCATCAAGGATCTCTCTATACTTTGCTCCATTCATCTTTGCCTCGATCCTTTCTAGTCTCCCAGTCCCTGCCGCTGCGTCATGCTGCCACCACCATGCTTCACCGTAGGGATGGTGCCAGGTTTCTTCCAGACGTGACTCTTGGCATTCAGGCCAAAGGGTTCAATCTTGGTTTCATCAGACCAAAGAATCTTGTTTCTTATGGTCTGAGAGACTTTAGGTACCTTTTGGCAAACTCCAAGCGGGCTGGCATGTGCCTTTTACTAGGAGTGGCCTCTGTCTGGTCACTCTACAATAAAGACTTGATTGGTGGAGTGCTGCAGAGATGGTTGTCTTTCTGGAAGGTTCTTCTAATCTCCACAGAGGAACTCTAGAGCTCTGTCAGAGTGACCATCGGGTTCTTGGTCACCTCCCTGACCTAGACCCTTCTCCCCTGATTGCTCAGTTTGGCTGGGCGGCCAGCTCTAGGAAGAGTCTTGGTTGTTCCAAACTTCTTTATTTAAGAATGATGGAGGCCACTGTGTTCTTGGGGACCTTCAATGCTGCAGACAATTTTTGGTACCCTTCGCCAGATCTGTGCCTCGACAAAATCTTGTCTCAGAGCTCTAAGGACAATTCCTTTGACCTCATGGCTTGGTTTTTGCTCTGACATGCAATGTCAACTGTGGGACCTTATATAGACAGGTGTGTGCCTTTCCAAATCATGTCCAATCAATCGAATTTACCACAGGTGGACTCCATTCAAGTTGTAGAAACATCTCAAGGATGATCAGTGGAAACAGGATGCACCTGAGCTCAATTTTGAGTCTCATAGCAAAGTGTCTGAATACTTATGTGAATAAGGTATTTCTGTTTTTTATTTTTAATAGATTTGCACAAATTTCTAAAAAACAGTTTGTGCTTTGTCATTATGGGGTATTGTGTGTAGATTGCTAAGGATGTTTTTTCCATTTTAGAATAAGGCTGTAATTTAACAAAATGTGGAAAAAGTCAAGGGGTCTGAATACTTTCCGAAAGCATTGTAACTACTGTATGGTTATAAAAACATTTTTTTTATATATATACTGTATATAGACTTCATAAAGTCTCCTCTGCATTATTGTAGCCATTTGCTACAGCCTGTCAACTATGCCTCTGCCTATCCCTGTTCTCTCCTCTCTGCACAGGCTACACAAACGCCCCACACCGCGTGGCTGCTGCCTCTCTAACCTGGTGGTCCCTGCACGCACCCCACACCTGGAGTTCCAGGTCTCAGGCAGCCTCTGGAACTGCCGTTCTGCTGCCAACAAAGCTGACTTCATCCCAGCCTATGCTAATCTCCAGTCCCTCGACTTCCTGGCGCTGACGGAAACATGGATTACCACTGAAAACACTGCTACTCCTACTGCTCTCTCCTCGTCTGACCATGTGTTCTCGCATACCCCGAGAGCATCTGGTCAGAGGGGTGGTGGCACAGGAATCCTCATCTCTCCCAAGTGGACATTCTCAATTTTTCCCCTAACCCATCTGTCTATCTCCTCATTTGAATTCCATGCTGTCACAGTCACTAGCCCATTTAAGCTTAATATCCTTGTCATCTATCGCCCTCCAGGTTCCCTTGGAGAGTTCATCAATGAGCTTGATGCCTTGATAAGTTCCTTTCCTGAGGATGGCTCACCCCTCACAGTTTTGGGGGATTTCAACCTCCCTATGTCCACATTTGACTCATTTCTCTCTGCCTCCTTCTTTCCACTCCTCTCCTCTTTTGACCTCACCCTCTCACCGTCCCCCCCTACTCACAAGGCAGGCAATACGCTTGACCTCATCTTTACTAGATGCTGCTCTTCTACTAATCTCACTGCAACACCCCTCCATGTCTCCGACCACTACTTTGTTTCCTTTTCTCTCTCGCTCTCCTCCCACACTACTCACTCTGCCCCTACACAGATGGTAATGCGCCGCCGCAACCTTCGCTCTCTCTCTCCCACTACTCTCTCCTCTTCCATCCTATCATCTCTTCCCTCTGCTCAATCCTTCTCCCTCCAATCTCCTGATTCTGCCTCCTCAACCCTCCTCTCCTCCCTTTCTGCATCCTTTGACTCTCTGTGTCCCCTATCCTCCCGGCCGGCTCGGTCCTCCCCTCCAGCTCCGTGGCTTGATGACTCATTGCGAGCTCACAGAACAGAGCTCCGGGCAGCGGAGCGGAAATGGAAGAAAACTAAACTCCCTGCCGACCTGGCATCTTTTCACTCCCTCCTCTCTACATTTTCTTCATCTGTTTCTGCTGCTAAGGCCACTTTCTACCACTCTAAATTCCAAGCATCTGCCTCTAACCCTAGGAAGCTATTTGCCACATTTTCCTCACTGCTGAATCCTCCCCCCCCCCCCCCCCCCCCCCCCCCTTCCTCTCTCTCTGTGGATGACTTCGTCAACCACTTTGAAAAGAAGGTTGACGACATCCGATCCTCGTTTGTTAAGTCTAATGACACTGCTGGTCCTACTCACACTGCCCTACCCTATGCTTTGACTTCTTTCTCCCCTCTCTCTCCAGATAAAATCCTGCGACTTGTGACTGCAGGCCGCCCAACAACCTGCCCGCTTGACCCCATCCCCTCCTCTCTTCTCCAGACCATCTCCGGTGACCTTCTCCCCTACCTCACCTCGCTGATCAACTCATCCTTGACCGCTGGCCATGGCCCTTTCCGTCTTCAAGAGAGCGAGAGTTGCTCCCCTTCTCAAAAAACCAACACTCGATCCCACTGATGTCAACAACTACAGACCAGTATCCCTTCTTTCTTTTCTTTCCAAAACTATTGAGCGTGCCGTCTTTAGCCAACTCTCTTGCTATCTCTCTCAGAATGACCTTCTTGATCCAAACCAGTCAGGTTTCAGGACTGGTCATTCAACTGAGACTGCTCTTCTCTGTGTCACGGAGGCTCTCCGCACTGCTAAAGCTAACTCTCTCTCCTCTGCTCTTGTCCTTCTAGACCTGTCTGCTGCCTTTGATACTGTGAACCATCAGATCCTCCTCTCCACCCTCTCCGAGCTGGGCATCTCCGGCGCGGCTCACTCCTGGATTGCGTCCTACCTGACCGGTCGCTCCTACCAAGTGGCGTGGCGAGAAGCTGTCTCCGCACCACGTGCTCTCACCACTGGTGTCCCCCAGGGCTCAGTTCTAGGCCCTCTCCTTTTCTCCCTATACACCAAGTCACTTGGCTCTGTCATATCCTCACATGGCCTCTCCTATCATTGCTACGCTGACGATACACAACTAATCTTCTCCTTTCCCCCTTCTGATAACCAGGTGGCGAATCGCATCTCTGCATGTCTGGCAGACATATCAGTATGGATGACGGATCACCACCTAAAGCTGAACCCTGGCAAGACGGAGCTGCTCTTCCTCCCGGGGAAGGACTGCCCGTTCCATGATCTCGCCATCACGGTTGACAACTCCGTTGTGTCCTCCTCCCAGAGTGCGAAGAGCCTTGGCGTGACCCTGGACAACACCCTGTCGTTCTCCGCTAACATCGAGGCGGTGACCCGCTCCTGCAGGTTCATGCTCTACAACATTCGGAGAGTACGACCCTGCCTTACACAGGAAGCGGCACAGGTCCTAATCCAGGCACTTGTCATCTCCCGTCTGGACTACTGCAACTCGCTGTTGGCTGGCCTCCCTGCCTGTGCCATTAAACCCCTACAACTCATCCAGAATGCCGCAGCCCGTCTGGTGTTCAACCTTCCCAAGTTTTCTCACGTCACCCCCCTCCTCCACACACTCCACTGGCTTCCAGTTGAAGCTCGCATCCGCTACAAGACCATGGTGCTTGCCTATGGAGCAGTGAGGGGAACGGCACCTCTGTACCTTCGGGCTTTGATCAGTCCCTACACCCAAACGAGGGCATTGCGTTCATCCACCTCTGGCCTGCTGGCTCCCCTTCCTCTGCGGAAGCATAGTTCCCGCTCAGCCCAGTCAAAACTGTTCGCTGCTCTGGCACCCCAATGGTGGAACAAGCTCCCTCACGACGCCAGGACAGCGGAGTCACTCACCACCTTCCGGAGACATTTGAAACCCCCACCTCTGTAAGGAATACCTGGGATAGGATAAAGTAATCCTTCTACCCCCCCCCCCCCCCCCCAAAAAAAATTGTAAAGTGGTTATCCCACTGCCTATAGGGTGAATGCACCCAATTTGTGAGTCGCTCTGTTTAAGAGCGTCTGCTAAATGACGTAAATGTGCCCTTGAGCAAGGCACTTAACCCTAATTGCTCCTGTAAGTCGCTCTGGTTAAGAGCGTCTGCTAAATGACTAAAATGTAAATGTAAATGTAATAAAGCATTTCGTTATAGTAATTGATATCACAAAACAGTAAAGTGTTAGGACAAAATAACAAGGTAGTATCTGAAAAATCTGGATCAATGGCCATCAGTAAATCTACTCATACTTGTTAATCAATAGGCTACACTTTATACTCTCTAATAGCACTAGTGATACCTTCTGCATAAATGTCATAATAGGCTCTGCACAAAAAAGATGTCCTCCCAATGAAAAGTAGCCATGTGCATAATCAATCAAAAGATCGTTATGTGCTACCCAGTGCAATAGCATGATGGGGACTGACGTCGAATTCCACTGCAACAGAAGTGCCGTTGTAGGTCCTCATCACCTCTAACCGCTAAGCATTTACAAGACAAATAAACAATTGGTCTTAGAAACAAAAAAACGCTCTCAGACGTTGTCCTTTCAGATAGTGTTCCCTCTTTGGACAAATCTGTTTCTAGAGCCCTTGAGTAGACATTGATCTATTTCCACAGTGATGAATTGGGGGCTAGTGAAAGATTTGGTATGTTATGCTTGAGTTAAAAGTGATAGTTTCCCATGAAGACCAGAACAGACATGGTCATGAATGTTACCTTTTACCGTTAATGAAAGTGATCAGAATCCAACACAAATGTACTGTATACAGATGAATTTAACCAAATCTTTCTTTTCATTTTGGGCCAATTCCCGGACACAGTTTAAGCCTAGTCCTGGACTAAATAGCTGAATGAAGAATCTCCATTGAAATAACATTTTCATCCAGCACTAAACTTAATCTGTGTCCAGGAAACTGGACATTAACGTATAGATTGATGATTGTTTTGAGTATTCTTTATGCCCTTTGATGTCCAATCATGTTTAATATTGTCCAGAGAGCTAAACAATCATTTTACCAGAGATAACAAACACTGGTTGATTTTATGTTCAGGGCAATTTTCTGGCTTTGTGGGGGGAAGATTTTGGCAAGTGCAATATCAAAGAAATAGACTAGAGGAACAGGCACCCTGACTAGTGTAAATGAACAATATTTGGGTGTGTGTTAGTTTTGCCTCAGCTGCAAGTGTGTACATAATTCATCATGCTACAACAGGTAAAGGACAAGCTACAAAGTTCACATTAAATGAACAGGAACTGTGTATAAAAGGATATGTTTTGTTGTCAGCTGCTCCAGATTGGTCATTGTGGCTTGCTGGAACTCAACCAGACTCTCACAGGCACATGGGTTTTTTACCTCAATCTCTCCCTGGCTCTCCTCTGAAAACACACATTCACATTTAAGTCATTTAGCAGACACTCTTATCCAGAGCGACTTACAGTAGTGAGTGCATACATTTTCATACTTTTTCCATACTGGTCCCACATGGGAATTGAACCCACAACCCTGGCGTTGCAAGCGCCATGCTCTACCAACTGAGGCACACAAAACCACACACACACAGTGAAAAAAAAAACATTTCTATTTAATTCTATCACTTTCATAAGCTCTCCAAATTAAGAAATGTAAGGAGGTGTCTATTGTGTAAAAAGTATTTAACCTTATCCTCTCTATTATCTTTGCCTGACTCTAGATGGTGCTCTAAAATAACAAATTCTGACTGGTTGTGATTTGCTTTGATCATAGAATAGAGTACCTGCACAGATGTTGAGCTTGAGGTTCTCTGCTATCTGGTTGATGAAAGTGAAGTCAGTGGTATAAAAGAAGTGCTTGTCTAGTGGCTCCGAGGCAATCTCGCGCAGCTCATCCTCCACGGCCTTCCCAACGCCAACAGCATACATCGTGATACCTGGCACACAGGACAATGCAGTATCTCACTAAAGTGGTGGATGAAGTCCTGAATTGTATTTGATTGCAAGCATTGTTTTGTTGAAAGAGCTAGCCACACACCAAAGTAGTAAGTAGTAGGCTTTTACATTTCAAAACCATGTTACATGACTTCTCATTATAGAAAGATAATCTCATCTTAATGCTATTGGTCCTATGTAAACATTACTGCAGGAGCTTTATAATAAATCAGGCAAATAAATATTACAGCCCCTGTGTCACCTACCTGCTTCTTTGGCTTTCTTGGCCCACTCGGTGATGTCGTCCTGAGAGCGGCCATCAGTGAAGACCAGGCCCACGCGAGGGACGTTCTTGCGGGTGCCCTCGGCCTCTGAGAAGCTGTTCTCCACCATGTGCTTGAGAGCCAGGCCCGTCATGGTGCCCTTCTCCATGTACTCCACGTTCATCACCGCCTTCTTGATGTCATCCGCCGTCTGGTACATGTTGAGGGCGAACTCGGTGCGCACGCGACTGGAGTATTGCACTAGGCCCACTCGTGTCCCATGCGCCGACACGTCCAGGGAGTCCACCACCTGGTTGACAAACTGCTTGACCAGCTCAAAGTTCTGGGGACGCACACTCTTGGAGCCGTCGATGAGGAGGACCAGGTCGATGTTGGCTGATCTGCAGGCTGGGTGGGACATGAGGGGAATCAGGGCACTTTTCATACAGTAACATGCCCTTGTTGCATTTACCATGCAAGGATTGTAGGTATTTCATAAAACACTGTGGGATTCATCAGAAACAACAGCTCCTTGGGCTGTATTATCTCTCGATGAAGAAAAAGCTTTTGAAAATGTATATAAGGAAAGACATAGGAGGACTATTCGTACCAAATTATAAATTGTATTTCTAGGCGCTAGCATTTCGCCCAATCCTAAATTAGTTTAGACATGATTCTTCCACCCCCTGGCTGAGTATAGAGAGAAATATGTTGTCTCCTATTGCCCTGGAAGAGGTGGTCTTCACTGATATATCCCTTAAACAATGTAAACATCGCTTCGGTCCTATTATTGCTCACACAATTTCTATTGGCGCAAAACGGTATGCCCATGCTCCCTATTTCACAATAATGCCTTGTGATCTGGAGGGCAGTCTTTTGCATCCCCCCAATAGTCCAAATGTGGAATCAGTACCCTTGCCAATATCATGGACAGTAATGGTTTGAGAACATTCCAAGATTTGAAAGATACATACACATTATCAGTCAAATAATCGTTTATATATATACAAATAAGTCAGCTATGCTGGCCTATGGAGTCCCTTGGGCAACCCAACTACCGAACCACCCAATGATGGGATTTATAAATACATTATCTGGGATGGTGACATGTTGGCTGGGCGGGGTTGGGAGAATGAGATGGGAGGTTGGGTGTGGAGGCCCACTTCTTTTTTATTTTATTTTCCTGTGTATACTGAATGTATTATTAATTAAACTCTGTATATATTTCTTAGTTTTTCTTCTTCTTTTGAGTGGTAGCCTGCAGGTAATGGATAATGTACCTATAACCTACCGAACAAAAAAACAAAACACATTTGGTATTTGTTTTTAAATAATACACTGTGGGATGTGCAGTTATTATGCATGTTACCAGGTACTTATTGTAAAAATAAAAAAAAATTCTCAATGACTTACCTGGCTAAATATTTTATTTAGGAAGAGGTTTTATTTGTAGGTTATGTAATTCCAGTTCTAGTCCTAGAGCACATTAGATATGATATTCTAGATACTACAGAGGGACAACTGAATAGTAGTAGTTGTATAGAGCCATTGCATCCTGGTGAACCACAGGAGTTGTAGAGGGTATTCATTATTGTACTCAGTGGGTGTGTGAAGTATGCTTACTTCCACAGCCTTTTCCATCCTCCGCCAGTAGCTGTGCCTCAGGGCAGATGCAGTAGTAGGATCCTGGGGTACTGACACACTGGTGCTCACAGCCATGCTCCACTGTGTTACACAGGTCAAGATCTGTGGACGACAAACACACATGGAGAGACTGACAAACTGAGGGGCAGTGGATGAGAAGTGTGTAGTGTCGTAGGTTATGTCCGGGATCAATGGAACGCCGTGGGGGATAGCACAAGGACACTGTCATTGGCAACCATTCAAAAAAGCTCATACTAACAAAGTGCACATTTATCAAATTTCGAAGAGGCTTACAATGCGGCAACTAAAATCAGATTTTGATAGGTTTGGCTGTTTCCGCTGCATAACATTTAGAAGTTGTCATTTTCGGGTGTAGAAAAATATTTGCTAAATGCTAACTCTTGTTCGGATAAGCTGGTAGCATAAGCTAGCCAGTAATTGCATTCTGTTACCAATGTAGTTAAAGATGAACTACATGGCTTAAAGGCAACTTAATGTTTTTTGATTGTGACCAACAGCACATATGTTTATATAAGAAACAGACCTGGGTTCAAATAGTATTTGTGTTGTTTTGAATACTTTGGCTGCTTTTGATTGAGCTTACTTGGAGCACTTCAACCAATGACATAGTCCCAAATGTGCAAACTGGCACTCCTGGCAGGCTCAATCAAACGCTAAAAATCTAAGAAAGAAAACACATACTGTTTGAACTCAGGTCTGATCAGAAATTTCAACAAAATCCTGTTGTGTGCAAGTAATAAGGACAGAAAATATGTATTTTAATGGCGGGTCTCAAGCTTGATAAATACAGAATAGTATGTAGATTTGTTGAGCTCGCAATGTTCACCACAAATCTCACCCAGCAGCCACCTCAAATACGCTGTTGTATACATCTACCCCTATGCATTCTACTGTTTGGTCTGATGATGGCCTCACTAACGTGTGCAGGTCTTTTTGCCAGCGTTGAGGGTGAATCCAATGTTGCAGTCACAGGTGAAGGCGCCTGGGGAAGCGATGCAGATCTGCTCACAGTCATGCTTCCCCTCAGCACACAGGTCTGTCACTGTGTGACAGAAAAAAAAACAGAGACACTCATGTCCAGGTTACACTTCACTAAGACGTATAATGCATTATCCTGCAGTCATTATAATCATGTATCACATTCTTATAATGTCTTAGTATCATCCCATAATGACCCAGGGTCACCAGGGATCACCACCTTGCCGTGGTCGAGTTGCTGAGATGCTGTCTGGAGCTTAAGCTCCTGGTAGGGGCTCACCCGTGGCGGTAAGGTCAGAGGTTACAGGCAAAGTGTGATCCAACAAAGACCTTAACTGCAGAGCAGGCAGAAGATAATGGTCACAATGGTTGTAAAGGTGGAGGAAGACTGCAGTAGCGAGAGGTCCTCAATCGTCACAGGCTCCATGCCATTGGAGTTGCCAGTAGGATCACCTCTTCTTCAGAAACCAAACATTTTCATTTTGGAGCGTGGAACGTTCAAACTCTGATGAACAATGTGAACAGTGATCAACCTGAGAGATGAACTGCGATCATTCCAAGAGAACTGAGAAGATATTGGATTCACAGTGCTGCCCTCGCCAAAACCCAACTGGCAGATGAAGGGCAACTGAAGGAAGACAAAGGCAGCTACACCTTCTTCTGAAAAGGTAAACCAGCTGATTAACCAGGAATTCATAGGGTTTGGCTGGGACCACAACCATTGAAGAGGCACAATTGAAAAGCAAGGTACCGGCAATACCAACTAAAATGTAGTTCTTCTCCTAACCAAATGCAATACACTCTTCTGTCATACAAAATATCCTGAAAAAGCTGCTGAAGGATGATGAATCAATCTAATCCCGGTGGAGAGAACTAATTACATTGTTTTGTTTACCTTTATTTGCTTCCTCTGTAAACGCTCTCATGGCCATGTGGTTGTTGCAAAGGATCATTAGTAACAGTTGATAATATTTAAAAAATGACATGTAGGCTTATTCAATCGTTATGGAGCAGAGCGCAGACCAAGCCGTAACAGTTTGAACCCGATGGAGACAATAGACGATGGTACTGTATAGCCTATACTGTACACTATTCTCCATATTATAATTCTATGTACACTGATCTTCCAACATTACCATGGGTTGTAGAACTGAATATCGCAACTTTCAGAATGAATCAAACCATTCAGGGACACCCTGATCTTTAAAATGGGGTAGGAGGCAGATTTGTGGGAAATACAAAGGCATTTCCCTCCTAAATACCACCAGGAAATTACTTACCTGCATGCTGGCCAACCGACTCCTACTCCTGTCAGAAGAAATCCCATAATCGCAGTGTGGTTTTCTCCCATCCAGAGGGAAAACAGACATGATTTTCAAAGCACAACAACAGCAAGGGAAATGATGGGAGCAAAAGCAACCATGTGGTCATTTTAGACTTAATATAAACTTTTGACTCTTAGTCTAGATACCTCTACCCGAGGTAGAACAAAACACAACCATGTTTTTTCGCATCTCTAATGTCTCCCGTTTATGAAATTGTCCCTGAGCTGGCAGACGAATTGTTCTTGCGTCTCTGTCTGCTTGAGGTAGCAGGTCTGTTAGGAAATGCCTTTGTCACACAATCTGGATAAGGGCATTTCTGTGCTGCACCACAAATACTCTGAATGGGGAGATGGAGAAACTCTATTCGATTGGTATTATTATATTCCTCTTTCATTTACAAATCTCATGACTATGAGACGTGGCTGTATATAGGGGAATTTTTATTTTGCTGAGCCTGCTAGCTAGCCAGCTATCAATTGCTGTGAAGTCACCAAAATGATTTAAAATAATGATTGAGGTAGCTACACTATATATACAAAAGTATGTGGACACCCCTTCAAATTAGTGGATTCGGCTATTTCAGCCACACCCGTTGCTGACAGGTCGTGGTCAAAAGTTTTGAGAATGACACAAATACAAATTTTCACAAAGTCTGCTGCCTCAGTTTTGACTCCAGAATGTTATGAAGAGTGATCAGATGAATTGCAATTAATTGCAAAGTCCCTCTTTGCCATGAAAATGAACTTAATCCCCAAAAAACATTTCCACTGCATTTCAGCCCTGCCACAAAAAGACCATCTGCCATCATGTCAGTGATTCTCTCATTAACACAGATGAGAGTGTTGACGAGGACAAGGCTGGAGATCACTCATGCTGATTGAGTTAGAATAACAGACTGGAAGCTTTAAAAGGAGGGTAGTGCTTGAAATCATTGTTCTTCCTCTGTTAACCATAGTTACCTGCAAGGAAACACGTGCCGTCATCATTGCTTTGCACAAAAAGGGCTTCACAGGCAAGGATATTGCTGCTAGTAAGATTGCACCTAAATCAACTATTTATCGGATCATCAAGAACTTCAAGGAGAGAGGTTCAATTGTTGTGAAGAAGGCGTCAGGGTGCCCAAGAAAGTCCAGCAAGCGCCAGGAACGTCTCTTAAAGTTGATTCAGCTGTGGGATCGGGGCACCACCAGTGCAGAGCTTGCTCAGGAATGGCAGCAGGCAGGTGTGAGTGCATCTGCATGCACAGTGAGGCGAAGACTTTTGGATGATGGCCTGGTGTCAAGAAGGGCAACAAAGAAGCCACTTCTCTCCAGGAAAAACATCAGGGACAGACTGATAGTCTACAAAAGGTACAGGGATTGGACTGCTGAGGACTGGGGTAAAGTCATTTTCTCTGATGAATCCCCTTTCCGATTGTTTGGGGCATCCGGAAAACACCTTGTCCGGAGAAGACAAGGTGAGCACTAAAATCAGTCCTGTGTCATGCCAACAGTAAAGCATCCTGAGACCATTCATGTGTGGGGTTGCTTCTCAGCCAAGGGAGTGGGCTCACTCACAATTTTGCCTAAGAACACAGCCATGAATAAAGAATGGTACCAACACATCCTCAGAGAGCAACTTCTCCCAACCATCCAAGAACAGTTTGGTGACGACCAATGCCTTTTCCAGCATGATGGAGCACCTTGCCATAAGGCAAAAGTGATAACTAAGTGGCTTGGGGAACAAAACATCGACATTTTGGGTCCATGGCCAGGAAACTCCCCAGACCTTAATCCCATTGAGAACTTGTGGTTGATCCTCAAGAGGCGGGTGGACAAACAAATACCTACAAATTCTGACAAACTCCAAGCCTTGATTATGCAAAAAATGGGCTGCCATCAGTCAGGATGTGGCCCAGAAGTTAATTGATAGCATGCCAGGGCGGATTGCAGAGGTCTTGAAAAAGAAGGGTCAACACTGCAAATATTGACTCTTTGCATAAACTTAATGTAATTGTCAATAAAAGCCTTTGACACTTATGGAATGCTTGTTATTATACTTCAGTATACCATAGAAACATCTGACAAAAATAACTCATAACACTGAAGCAGCGAACTTTGTGAAGACCAATACTTGTGTCATTCTCAAAACGTTTGACCATGACTGTATAAAATCGAGCACACAGCCATGCAATCTCCATAGACAAATATTGGCAGTAGAATGGCTTTACTGAAGAGCTCAGTGACTTTCAACCTGCCACCTTTCCAACAAGTCAGATCGTCAAATTTCTGCCCTGCTAGAGCTGCCCTGGTCAACTGTAAGTGCTGTCATTGTGAAGTGAAAACGTCTAGGAGCAACAACGGCTCAGCCGCGAAGTGGTAGGCCACACAAGCTCACAGAACGGGACCGCCGAATGCTGAAGTGCATAGCGCGTAAAAATCGTCTGTCCTCGGTTGCAACACTCACTACCGAGTTCCAAACTGCCTTGGAAGCAACGTCAGAACTGTTTCATTAAATAGGTTTCCATGGCCAAGAAGCCGCACACAAGCCTAAGATCACCATGCGCAATGCCAAGTGTTGGCTGGAGTCGTGAATCACGCTTCACCATCTGGAAGTCCGATGGATGAATCTCGTTTTGGCGGATGCCAGGAGAACGCTACCTGCCCGAATGCATAGTGCCAACTGCAAAGTTTGGTGGAGGAGGAATAATGGTCTGGGGTTGTTTTTCATGGTTCGGGATAGGCCCCTTAGTTCCCAGAAGGGAAATATTAACGCTACAGCATATAATGACATTCTAGACGATTCTGTGCTTCCAACTTTGTGGCAACAGTTTGGGGAAGGCCTTTTCCTGTTTCAGCATGACAATGCCCCGTGCACAAAGCGAGGTCCATACAGAAATGGCTTGTCGAGATCGGTGTGGAAGAACTTGACTGGCCTGCACAGAGCCCTGACCTCAAACCCATCGAACACCTTTGGGTTGAATTGGAACACTGCGAGCCAGGCATAATCGCCCAACATCAGCGCCCAACCTCACTAATGCTCCTGTGGCTGAATGGAAATAAGTCCCTGCATCAATGTTCCAACATCTAGTGGAAAGCCTTCCCAGAAGAGTGGAGCCCATGATTTTGGAATGAGATGTTTAACTAGCAGGTGTCCACATACTTTTGGTCATGTAGTGTATATGCTCTGCTCTTGAAGATCTGGCACAAGGAGAACATCTCCACACTCAGCGACACTCTGATTACCATCTTTTAAAAGGCATATTTGTGGGAAATACAGAGGCTCTCCTTTCTGTACACCACCAGGAAAATACTTACACCAACACAAGCAAGGGGGGCCTTGTTTTTCAAATCCAAAAACTGAGAGGTTTCAACCCCCAAAGAAAAAAAGTTGGTGATAACCAATCAGTGCAATCACTCAAAACGTATCACTAAAACTATTGTTAACATATCAACAGTTGACAGTCGGTACACAGTACCATGTGGTCTGGTGTAAGCCAGGCTAGCCATCAACTTCACAGGCCAACATTTGCATCAGGGAGTCCAAATGATGTACACAACAGCAGACTCTTTAACCTCAATAGATTGAGGTAAATAGCAAAGTCTCCACCGCATACAAGCTCCTACATCAGGGCCTAAACATAAAAAGACACATATCCTCCACCAGCCATCTACCGTCAAGACAACACCAGGCGAAAAATACACATTGACAATTCCACCCTTGCAAATGGGGATTACATTTCCATATGGTGAAAATATATCAATTATAATAAAAGCACTGCATGAATCTATCATCTTATTTGCGATCCAAGAAAAACATGTATTTTATAAATGCATTTAATGCAATTCTACATCATTTTACATGACTGGAGACAAGTATAATATTTTGTAATACCACAACAGAGCATGACAACGAATGTGGGCATGCTGCAGCACCGGAATTTGATTGATTTCTATACAGGCTATTGTTAAAAAGGAGGATAGTCTAAGTTTGGAACAGTGCTAAAGTTGTCTATCAACTGTAAAAATTGATAGCAACAGAACCAGTTACAACTGAAGTATCTGATCATCAATGAATCCGAGAAAAAGCCATTCATTGTTTAACACAGCAGCCACATATCATCAGGTAGGCCTATATGCACTTCAAAAAAATTTTTTGGGGGGAAATATAATTTTCACATTTATTCTATTTCATTCCATGATCTTGTTGTTACAAAATAGATGTGTGTTGACTGTGATTAGGGCATTTGGAAAGTATTCAGACCCCTTCACTTTTTCCACATTTTGTTACGTTACAGCCTTATTCTAAAATTGATTAAATTCAATTTTTCCCTCATCAATCTACACACAATACCCCATAATGACAAAGCGAAAACAGTTTTTTTGACATTTTTGCAAATTTATTAAAAACAAACACAGAAATACCTTATTTACATAAGTAACCAAGCCATGAGGTTGAAGGAATTGTCCGTAGAACTCCGAGACAGGATTATGTTGAGGCACAGATCTGGGAAAGGGTACCCCAACATTTCTGTTGCATTGAAGATCCCCGAGAACACAGTGGCCTCCGTCAATCTTAAATGGAAGAAGTTTAGTACCACCAAGACTCTTCCTAGAGCTGGCCGCTCGGCCAAACTGAGCAATCGGGGGAGAAGAGCCTCTGACAGAGTTCCAGAGTTCCTATGTGGGAATGGGAGAAACTTCCAGAAGGACAACCATCTCTGCAGCACTCCACCCATCAGGCCTTTATGGTAGAGTGGCCAGACGGAAGCCACTCCTTAGTAAAAGGCACATGACAGCCCGCTTGGAGTTTGCCAAAAGGCACCTAAAGGACTCTCAGACCATGAGAAACAAGATTCTCTGGTCAGATGAAACCAAGATTGAACTGAATGCCAAGCGTCATGTCTGGAGGAAACCAGGCACCGCTCATCACCTGGCCAATACCATCCCTACGGTGAAGCATGGTGGTGGCAGCAACATGCTGTGGGGATGTTTTTCAGCGGCAGGAACGAGGAGACTAGTCAGGGGTGAGAGAAAGATGAACGGAGCACAGTACAGAGAGATCCTTGATGAAAACCTGCTCCAGAGCGCTCAGGACCTCAGACTGGGGCGAAGGTACACCTTCCAACAGCACAACGACCCTAAGCCCACAGCCAAGACAACGCAGAAGTGGCTTCGGGACAAGTCTCTGAATGTCCTTGAGTGGCCCAGCCAGAGCCCGGACTAGAACCCGATCTAACATCTCTGGAGAGACCTGAAAATAGCTGTGCAGCGACGCTCCCCATCCAACCTGACAGAGCTTGAGAGGATCTGCAGAAAAGAATGGGAGAAACTCCCCAAATACAGGTGTGCCAAGTTTGTAGCGTCATACCCCAGAAGACTCAAGGCTGCCAAAGGTGCTTCAACAAAGTACTGAGTAAACGGTCTGAATATGTAATATGTAAATGTGATATTTCCGGTTTTTATTTTTTTCCGTGGCCCCTTAGGGTTCTGCCGAGGTACTGCAGGTGGTCCACGAAAAGATATATATTTTTTAAGTGAAATAAATAATTATATATATTTTCGTGGACCACCTGCAGTACCTCGGCAGACCCCTACGGGGACACGGACCTTAGGTTGAATACATCCATCAAATGCTATGCATGAGCTCATATTTAGTTATCTTAATAGATGCAACATTACAATGACAGCATAGTGTCATCATTATGGTGCTTCTGCCAGTTAGTGATTATGCCAAAAGGGATGAAATGTTTTAGTACATTTTGAAAAATAACTGAACTAAATGACTATTGCCCGTAGCACTCACTTCTGTCATCATGAAGTGCTTTGAGAGACTAGTCAAGGATCATATCACCTCTACCTTACCTGCCACCCTAGAACCACTTCAATTTTCTTACCACCCCAATAGATCCACAGACGATGCAATCGCCATCACACCGCCCTATCCCATCTGGACTAGTGGAATACCTATGTAAGAATGCTTAGCTCAGCATTCAACACCATAGTACCCTCCAAGCTCATCATTAAGCTCGAGGCCCTGGGTCTGAACCTCGCCCTGTGAACCACTGCCCCCAGGTGGTAGGTAGGAAACCACTCCTCCACTTCGCGGATTCTCAACACTGGGGCCCCACAAGAGTGCATGCTCAACCCCATCCTGTACTCCCTGTTCACCCATGACTGCGTGGCCAAGCACGTCTCCAACTCAATCATCAAGTTTGCAGCCAACATAACAGTAGTAGGCTTGATTACCAACAATGATGAGACAGCCTACAGGGAGGAGGTGAGGGCTCTGAGAGTGTGGTGCCAGGAAAATACCCTCTCACTCAACGTCAACAAAACAAAGGAGATGATCGTGGACTTCAGGAAACAGCAGAGGGAGCACACCCCTATCCACATCGACGGGACCGCAGTGGAGAAGGTGGAAAGCTTCAAGTTCCTCGGTGTACACATCACTGACAAACTGAAATGGTCCACCCACACAAACAGTGTGGTGAAGAAATGTGTCTTGGCACCTAAAACCCTTACAAACTTTTACAGACGCACAATTGAGAGCATCCTGTCGGGCTGTATCACTGCCTGGTACGGCAACTGCACCGCCCGCAACCACAGGGCTCTCCAGAGTGTATTGCGGTCTGCCCAACGCATCACCGGGGGCAAACTACTAGCCCTCCAGGACACCTACAGCACCCAATGTCACAGGAAGGCCAAAAAGATCATCAAGGACAAAAAACAACCGAGCCACTGCCTGTTCACCCCGCTATCATCCAGAAGGCAAGGTCAGTACAGGTGCATCAAAGCTGGGACCGAGAGACTGAAAAACAGCTTCCATCTCAAGGCCATCAGACTGTTAAATAGCCTTCACTAGTACATTAGAGGCTGCTGCCTATATACATAGATTAGAAATCACTGGCCACATTAATAAATGGAATACTAGTCACTTTAATAACTGTCATGACTCTCTCCTTGGTGAGCATCAAAGATAGCCAGACCTCCCCTCTCTCCCACAGGAAAGGAGAAGGGGGAGTTGGGCCGGTTTTATGACTTAACAGCCGGTCATAAATAGTTTGCAGAAAAGGACTCCTTTTGGTATCTTGTATGGAAAGAAAGAAATCTCTTTGTTACAGAGAGACTCTTGCCGCCCAAAAACTCTAACGTCAAAATATTGGACATTGGAACATTATTCCTAACCACCAAATGTTTGGAATGGTCAGTGGGGCTCTAAAGAATAATCATGTCATATTGTTTATTATTTTGTGATGTCATTAAGGATGGTATCAATAAATAATTGTAATTCGGAAAGTGTACATTTTCTATCTATCAAGTTTACATCTAAATGTTGTATAAAATATATGATTAAGTATGAGAGTATTTTGGTGAAGATAGGAATGTGAATTTAGTCTTCTAATTAGATAATAGTTTTCATATCAACTATGCACAGTGACTAGCCATGCCCCGAGTGACATCAGAGATTGTGTGATCACGATGGAATGTCCCTTTTACCCAGAGGGCATAAAAAGCCTTGAAAAACAAATAAACCTTTAGACCAGAAAACGTGAGAGTGGCGACTGCACGTATAGAATGGTTAGAACTTTAACATTAGACCAGGAAGCGTGGAGCTGTGGCTACACGGCTTAAAATGGTTAGACCAGAAAGACCAGAAAACGTCAGCGTGGCGACTGCACGTTTAGAATGGTTAGAACTTTGAATGAGAAAGACCAGCCGATGTGCAGCGGGAGCTGGACTTTACAAATGGTTGACACTCAACAGACCAGAAAACGTGAGACGGTATTCCATACGTTTGAAATTGAGAAACTTTGAAACTCTCAATCTCTACATGAGAAGAAGAACACGCACTAGACCTTATCACATCAGTCTGCAGCTGTACATGCAAAGTTGTCTAGAACTTTCACTAAAGACACGAGTTGGGAAGGACAATCCCTCTCAGACAACCGTTGGTACATCTGAAGTATCTATCTAACGAACACTCCAATCGAAGACACGCCGAGTCTCACCGAAGTGGGATAGGACACTCAAACCCCTTTTGAGAAAGTGGTTCAACAGAGAGACTACGATCAAGGACAGCTACGCGTAAATATGCATTGCATTTCTTATCCGAATGAGCGGTGGTTTCCAAATGAAACAACGATAAGTTGAATCTCTGTCTCTCCCTTTCACTCGCTTTCTATTGACCCCTCCTTCCCCTAACCAAGCAGTCATGCTATTGTTAGTCCAGTCAACCAGGGACCTGTTTTATTGTATTATGTTAGTAATCAATAACCTATAATGTGTGTGTGTGTGTTTGTATTCTGTGTTATTATTTAGTTAGTTAGTAAATAAATCATTAAGCCAATTTGTGTATTGCTGATTCCTCAATAAGGTTAGGGTTCTTGCAGGTTCAAGGATTATGCAACGTTCAGAATGAGACTGATGAGGTAATGTCACGCCCTGACCTATAGAACTCTTGTTAGTTTGGTCAGGGTGTGCATGTTTAGTATCTATGTTATGTTTTCTATGTGTAGAATCTAGGTATTGTGTTTCTATGTTTGGCCGAGTGTGATTCCCAATCAGAGGCAGCTGTCGCTCATTGTCTCTGATTGGGGATCATACTTTAGTAGCCTGTTTGTCATCATTGGTTGTGGGATCTTGTTCCGTGTAGAGGATTGTATTTGTGTTTAGCCTGTGGACTTCACTTCACGTTGTTTTGTTGTTTTTGTTTGTGTGTTTATTCTTTATAATAAACATGTATGCATTTCACGCTGCGCCTTGGTCTGACCCGTCCTTCAACGAACGTGACAGGTAATGATTTAATAAGTGACTGTTATCGGTATATAACATATACAGTGGGGAAAAAAAGTATTTAGTCAGCCACCAATTGTGCAAGTTCTCCCACTTAAAAAGATGAGAGAGGCCTGTAATTTTCATCATAGGTACACGTCAACTATGACAGACAAATTGAGAATTTTTTTTGTCCAGAAAATCACATTGTAGGATTTTTAAATGTATTAGTAAATATGGTGGAAAATAAGTATTTGGTCACCTATAAACAAGCAAGATGTCACGCCCTGGCTCTGGGGACTCTAGTATGTTGAGCCAGGGTGTGAGTTTTCATGTGTGTTGGTTCTAGTGTTTGTATATCTATGTTGGCCAGGGTGGCTCCCAATCAGAGACGGCTGTAGCTCGTAGGTAGCCGTTAGACATTCATTAATTGTGGTTTCTTATTCGTGTTGGTTTGTGTTTGACCATTGACTGTCACGTCATCGTTTTGTTGTTTTGATCGTGTGATCATTATATAAATAAATATGTTCGCATTCAACGCTGCGCCTTGGTCCTCATCTCTTACCGACGATCGTGACAGAAGAAACCACCAAAACTGGACCAAGCAGCGTGTCCAGGAGCCATCGCCAGGGGAATCGCTAGCAGATCTCCGTGGCAACCTCGACTGGGTCAAGCCTAGTGAGGAGCAGAGAGGGTGGACTTGGGAACAGTGGAGGAAGAGCTTCGACTGGGTCAAGCCAAATGAGGAGCTGAATGGAGGGAGTTGGAAGCAGAAGAGCGAGAGTTGGGCGAGAACTATAGAGGCCTGGCCCACGGGGAAGAGAGACCCCCAGAAAATTTTTAGGGGGGGCTCACGACGTCGGGGTAGCAGGAGGCCGCGATAGAGTGGTCCAGCGGGTTGGCAGAGGAGGCCGCCAGGTTACGGGGGCCACTGGTCGAAGAGGGGATGGAAGGTGTAGAGGCACGGCGAGAGGTACTGGGGTGTGTTACCAGTCCGGTCCGGCCCGTTCCAGATCCCGGTGTAGGGCCAGTGGTGTGTGTCCCCAGTACGGTCTGGTCTGTTCCTGCTCCCCGCACCAAGCCTACGGTACACGTCGCCAGCCCGGCCCGGCCTGTTCCTGCCCCTCGCACTAAGTCAGTGGTGCGCTTCGTCAGCCCGGCTCGGCCCGTTCCTGCTCTCCGCACCAAGTCAATGGTGCGCTTCGTCAGCCCGGCTCGGCCCGTTCCTGCTCCCCGCACCAAGTCAGTGGTGCGTTTCGTCAGCCCGGTTCGGCCCGCTCCTGCTCCCCGCACCAAGTCAGGGGTGCGTTTCGTCAGCCCGGCTCGGGCCGTTCCTGCTCCCCACACCAAGCCAGTGGTGTGCGTTGTCAGTCCGGCACAGCCCGTGCCTGTTCATCTGGTGCCTGGTTCAGCACGGGTCAGCTGCTTCACGCCGGAGCTAGAGCAATCCGCTCCACCAGTGTGCAGTCCAGCTCCGGTCAGCAGGGCCAGACCGGACCAGGGGTACTTTGGGGGGTTAGAGAGCGAGTGGGGATCATGCCCGGAGCCAGATCCGCCGCCAAGGCGGAGTGCCCACCCGGTCCCTCCCCTGTGGTATTTGGTTGGCGCGGTCGGAGTCCGCGCCTTTAGGGGGGGGGTACTGTCACGCCCTGGCTCTGGGGACTCTAGTATGTTGAGCCAGGGTGTGAGTTTTCATGTGTGTTGGTTCTAGTGTTTGTATATCTATGTTGGCCAGGGTGGCTCCCAATCAGAGACGGCTGTAGCTCGTTGTCTCTGATTGGGAGTCATACTTAGGTAGCCGTTAGGCATTCATTCATTGTGGTTTCTTGTTCGTGTTGGTTTGTGTTTGACCATTGACTGTCACGTCATCGTTTTGTTGTTTTGATCGTGTGATCATTATATAAATAAATATGTTCGCATTCAACGTTGCGCCTTGGTCCTCATCTCTTACCGACGATCGTGACACAAGATTTCTGGCTCTCACAGACCTGTAATTTCTTCTTTAAGAGGCTCCTCTGTCCTCCACTCGTTACCTGTATTAATGGCACCTGTTTGAACTTGTTATCAGTATAAAAGACACCTGTCCACAACCTCAAACAGTCACACTCCAAACTCCACTATGGCCAAGACCAAAGAGCTGTCAAAGGACACCAGAAACGAAATTGTAGACCTGCAGCAGGCTGGGAAGACTGAATCTGCAATAGGTAAGCAGCTTGGTTTGAAGAAATCAACTGTGGGAGCAATTATTAGGAAATGGAAGACATACAAGACCACTGATAATCTCCCTCGATCTGGGGCTCCATGCAAGATCTCACCCCGTGGGGTCAAAATGATCACCAGAACGGTGAGCAAAAATCCCAGAACCACACGGGGGGACCTAGTGAATGACCTGCAGAGAGCTGGGACCAAAGTAACAAAGCCTACCATCAGTAACACACTACGCCACCAGGGACTCAAATCCTGCAGTGTCAGACGTGTCCCCCTGTTTAAGCCAGTACATGTCCAGGCCCGTCTGAAGTTTGCTAGAGTGCATTTGGATGATCCAGAAGAGGATTGGGAGAATGTCATATGGTGAGATGAAACCAAAATATAACTTTTTGTTAAAAACTCAACTCGTCGTGTTTGGAGGACAAAGAATGCTGAGTTGCATCCAAAGAACACCATACCTACTGTGAAGCATGGGGGTGGAAATATCATGCTTTGGGGCTGTTTTTCTGGAAAGGGACCAGGACGACTGATCCGTGTAAAGGAAAGAATGAATGGGGCCAAGTATCGTGAGATTTTGAGTGAAAACCTCCTTCCATCAGCAAGGGCATTGAAGATGAAACGTGGCTGGGTCTTTCAGCATGACAATGATCCCAAACACACCGCCCGGGCAACGAAGGAGTGGCTACGTAAGAAGCATTTCAAGGTCCTGGAGTGGCCTAGCCAGTCTCCAGATCTCAACCCCATAGAAAATCTTTGGAGGGAGTTGAAAGTCTGTGTTGCCCAGCGACAGCCCCAAAACATCACTGGTCTAGAGGAGATCTGCATGGAGGAATGGGCCAAAATACCAGCAACAGTGTGTGAAAACCTTGTGAAGACTTACAGAAAACGTTTGACCTGTGTCATTGCCAACAAAGGGTATATAACAAAGTATTGAGAAACTTTTGTTATTGACCAAATACTTATTTTCCACCATAATTTGCAAATAAATTCATTAAAAATCCTACAATTTTTCTCATTTTGTCTGTCATAGTTGACGTGTACCTATGATGAAAATTACAGGCCTCTCTCATCTTTTTAAGTGGGAGAATTTGCACAATTGGTGGCTGACTAAATACTTTTTTTCCCCACTGTATATATCTTCTAAGAGTTTAATTCGGGAGATGGTACTCATTAAACAACTTCTTCCGTGGTGCCCCAAATTCCAAATGAGTTAATTGTTACATGATTCATTTAATTTAGTGACAATTAAACATAGTTAGTTGATTCGATAAATAACAGTCATCACATTAATGCAAGTCACGTCACGACATAATGTTTACATATCTTGCATTACTCATCTCAGATGTATATACTGTATTCTATACTATTCTACTGTATCTTAGTCTATGCCTCTCTGACATTGCTCGTACATATTTTTATTTATATATTCTTAATTCCATTGCTTTACTTAGATTTGTGTGTATTGGGTACAGTGAGGGAAAAAAGTATTTGATCCCCTGCTGATTTTGTACGTTTGCCCACTGACAAAGACATGATCGGTCTATAATTTTAATGGTAGGTTTATTTGAACAGTGAGAGACAGAATAACAACAAAAAAATCCAGAAAAACGCATGTCAAAAAATGTTATAAATTGATTTGCATTTTAATGAGGGAAATAAGTATTTGACCCCTCTGCAAAACATGACTTAGTACTTGGTGGAAAAACCCTTGTTGGCAATCACAGAGGTCAGACGTTTCTTGAAGTTGGCCACCAGGTTTGCACACATCTCAGGAGGGATTTTGTCCCACTTCTCTTTGCAGATCTTCTCCAAGTCATTAAGGTTTCGAGCCTGACGTTTTGTAACTCGAACCTTCAGCTCCCTCCACATATTTTCTACGGGATTAAGGTCTGGAGACTGGCTAGGCCACTCCAGGACCTTAATGTGCTTCTTCTTGAGCCACTCCTTTGTTGCCTTGGCCGTGTGTTTTGGGTCATGGTCATGCTGGAATACCTATCCACGACCCATTTCAATGCCCTGGCTGAGGGAAGGAGGTTCTCACCCAAGATTTAACGGTACATGGCCCCGTCCCATCGTCCCTTTGATACGGTGAAGTTGTCCTGACCCCCAAAGCATAATGTTTCCACCTCCATGTTTGACGGTGGGGATGGTGTTCTTGGGGTCATAGGCAGCATTCCTCCTCCTCCAAACACGACGAGTTGAGTTGATGCCAAAGAGCTCGATTTTGGTCTCATCTGACCACAACACTTTCACCCAGTTCTCCTCTGAATCGTTCAGATGTTCATTGGCAAACTTCAGACGGCCCTGTATATGTGCTTTCTTGAGCAGGGGGACCTTGCGGGCTTCAGGATTTCAGTCCTTCACGGCGTAGTGTGTTACCAATTGTTTTCTTGGTGACTATGGTCCCAGCTGCCTTGAGATCATTGACAAGATCCTCCTGTGTAGTTCTGGGCTGATTCCTCACAGCTTTCATGATCATTGCAACTCCACGAGGAGAGACCTTGCATGGAGCCCCAGGCCGAGGGAGATTGACAGTCTTTTGTGTTTCTTCCATTTGCGAATAATCGCACCAACTGTTGTTACCTTCTCACCAAGCTGCTTGGTGATGGTCTTGTAGCCCATTCCAGCCTTGTGTAGGTCTACAATCTTGTCCCTGACATCCTTGGAGAGTTCTTTGGTCTTGGCCATGGTGGAGAGTTTGGAATCTGATTGATTAATTGCTTCTGTGGACAGGTGTCTTTTATACAGGTAACAAGCTGAGATTAGGAGCACTCCCTTTAAGAGTGTGCTCCTAATCTCAGCTCGTTACCTGTATAAAAGACACCTGGGAGCCAGAAATCTTTCTGATTGAGAGGGGGTCAAATACTTATTTCCCTCATTAAAATGCAAATCAATTTATAACATTTTTGACATGCGTTTTTCTGGATTTTTTGTTGTTATTCTGTCTCTCACTGTTCAAATAAACCTACCATTAAAATGATAGACTGATCATGTCTTTGTCAGTGGGCAAACGTACAAAATCAGCAGGGGATCAAATACTTTTTTCCCTCACTGTATAGTCAAAGTTAATCGTTACCAATCATTTTGATTGATTGATTGACATTTTAGCACAGATTTTCACTATTCATATTTTAAAGGCGGGTTTCGGGCTTGATCAATATGGAACAGTATGTAGATTTGTTGTACTCGCAATGATCACCGCAAACCTTACCAAGCAGCCGGCTTAAATAAGCTGTTTGGATAAATATGCTCCTAGCTAAATGCATTCAACTGTTTGGCCTCACTAACTTGTGCATGTCTTCTTGTCGTTGTTGAGAGTGTAGCCAGCATTGCAGTTGCAGGTGAAGACGCCTGGCGAGGCAATACAGATCTGCTCACAGTCATGCTTCCCCTCAGCACACAGGTCCATCACTGTGTATCATAAAAAACAGAGACACTGATTACTGCATTGCTGATGTTTCATGTACAGATTACACTTCACTAAGGCACCCACGTATTATGCATTATCATGCAGTTATTGTAAGCAGTTATGACAGTCTTAAAATGTCTTATCATTCCATAATGATCCTGAGGTAAAATATTTTGAGTCGTGGTGAAAAATTGCCAAATTGCGTTGACAGTAAAACAGTATGAGCTCATACATACTTATAACTAGTAATAATTTATTATGCATGTGCACCTTAGGTGAAGTGATACCCATTTACTTTATACTGGCAGTCCAGCTTACTACTAATGGCAGATCATCCCAACCATCTTGAACGTTATGCAGATTTGAGGATCAGCTGAGAAAAATCTTCCGTCAGTCTGTCTAATGTACTTTCTGACTGTTTTCCATGTGAGTTATTGTATTACCAATGATGTGTAGATGTGTATAGCACATAATTGTAGAAACGTCTGGCACAAATAAATAACGTCCAGAACAGTACAAAAGTATTGGAGATACATTTCTGCGCGTATGCATGCGTGCATGTGATGGACCAATTGGAGAAATAACCAATACACTTTTTTTGGCAGATGTATGATGACGTAATAAATGAATAAAGGCTTTGATATTACGTTTGGCGGTATAGTCATCATTGGATGTGGCCTGGGGAAAATATAAGGTTTCACTTCATGGGACCTATCTGTCAAAGAGTAGTTTGATCTTGAGACCTTCTTGAGTATTCTTAGGTAAGTGACCATATCCAGTTGAGTCCAGTGGAATTTATTAAGTTAGAAAACTCAATGAACGTGAATTGGATAACAAAGGTTTAGCTGGAGAGCTTTTTTATTTGTTTGTTTTTAAGTAGAGAGGAGTAACTACTGTAGGTCACTTATTAAGCTATTGTTTATTAATCTAGTGTTGGTTCAGAACATACGGCACATTAAGATGTATGGACTACCTGTAACAGTACACACAGATAATGGTCACCACCTTTTACATCCAAATTAGAGTAATTATTTTCCACATGTAAAATAGAACAGCTGTACACCCAAATGGCTATGTGTAGACTCGTGTAAAAAAAGTTTTTTGTCAATTAATCTTACATAGACTTCAGTATTTGGCTTAAATAGTTGTTTCTATTTGTCCGTTTCCGCTGAAGCGGACCTTTGGCTTTATGAAGATTCAAGCCTCTTAAAGGCCCAGTGCAGTCAAAAACGTGATTTTCCTGTGCTTTATATATATTTCCACAATATGAGGTTGGAAAAATACTGTGAAATTATTGATAATGCCCTTTTAGTGTAAGACCGCCTGAAATTTCAGCCTTGTTTGGTTGGATGGAGGTTTGGCCTGCCTGGTGACATCACCTGGCAGTAAATTAGCTAATAGACAAATAAGAGAGTTCCAAACCTCTCTGCCAATACCAGCTAGTTTTCAGTTTTCCCCTCCCCACTCAGACCACTCCCACGCAGTCCTAGCTAAATTCTTTCTTGAGAAATTGCTCTTTGCTAAGAAGCAATTTTTGTTTATTTTTAACCATTTTAATTGAGATCAATCTCAGTAAGGTACTGTACTTAATTGTTACCCATAAATTATTTCATATTGAGATAAAAACGTCTGCATTGGACCTTTAAAGTGTGTAGAAACTTACTCTGGCAGGTCTTGCCATTCTCCTGGAGTGTGTATCCCACAGCACAGCGGCAGAAATAGCCATTGAGTACACCCACACACTCATGCTGACAGCTGTGATTCCCAAATGAACAGTAGTTGATCACTGAAGAAGGTAAAATGAAAGCAAATTATATGCTTATAGAAATTATATGAAGTTATAATGCATAATATTAAATAGTAATTCAATAATGCTCTTGATAGTATTTGTCACACATTTATGTAGTGTTAATGAAGGCTTTATGAAGGCTTCATAAGCTGCATGTCATTTAAAGTGGGACCCTTAAGTCTATAGGAAATATTGCTTTATGGTATGTATTATGGGACTTGCTTAGCCAGGATATGAGAAATATGCATGTCTATGATAAGCTGCTTTGTAAGCTCTATCTTAATGACCCCTTTGAATTTTCATATTTCTACATGAGAACAAGGGTGAGGAAATGAATGAATCATGTTTTTGAGTGGAAGTACAGTATACTTACAGTGGATTTTACTGTTTTTTTAAAACTATTTCCTCACCCTTGTTCTCATGCAGAAATATGAAAACTTAAAGGGGTCATTAAGATAGAGCTTACAATGCAGCTTATCATAGACATGCATATTTCTCATATCCTGGCCAAGCAAGTCCCATAATACATACCTTAAAGCAATTTTTCCTATAGACTTAAGGGTCCCGCTTTAAATGACGTGCAGCTTATAAAGCATTCATAAAGCCTTTATTAACACTACATAAATGTGTGACAAATCATCTACAACTGTATGTCATGCACTATAAACGGTTCATAAATGTGGCATAACTGTGTGACTATCACCTATCTCAAATGTGACATAAACCTGTGCTTTATAAAGGGTGGCATAAGCACTGCTTAGTAAAGGCTATATAAGGGTGGCTCCGCACTGCTAAAGCTAACTCTCTCTCCTCTGCTCTTGTCCTTCTAGACCTGTCTGCTGCCTTTGATACTGTGAACCATCAGATCCTCCTCTCCACCCTCTCCGAGCTGGGCATCTCCGGCGCGGCTCACTCCTGGATTGCGTCCTACCTGACCGGTCGCTCCTACCAAGTGGCGTGGCGAGAAGCTGTCTCCGCACCACGTGCTCTCACCACTGGTGTCCCCCAGGGCTCAGTTCTAGGCCCTCTCCTTTTCTCCCTATACACCAAGTCACTTGGCTCTGTCATATCCTCACATGGCCTCTCCTATCATTGCTACGCTGACGATACACAACTAATCTTCTCCTTTCCCCCTTCTGATAACCAGGTGGCGAATCGCATCTCTGCATGTCTGGCAGACATATCAGTATGGATGACGGATCACCACCTCAAGCTGAACCCTGGCAAGACGGAGCTGCTCTTCCTCCCGGGGAAGGACTGCCCATTCCATGATCTCGCCATCACGGTTGACAACTCCGTTGTGTCCTCCTCCCAGAGTGCGAAGAGCCTTGGCGTGACCCTGGACAACACCCTGTCGTTCTCCGCTAACATCAAGGCGGTGACCCGCTCCTGCAGGTTCATGCTCTACAACATTCGGAGAGTACGACCCTGCCTTACACAGGAAGCGGCACAGGTCCTAATCCAGGCACTTGTCATCTCCCGTCTGGATTACTGCAACTCGCTGTTGGCTGGCCTCCCTGCCTGTGCCATTAAACCCCTACAACTCATCCAGAATGCCGCAGCCCGTCTGGTGTTCAACATTCCCAAATTCTCTCACGTCACCCCCCTCCTCCGCACACTCCACTGGCTTCCAGTTGAAGCTCGCATCCGTTACAAGACCATGGTGCTTGCCTATTGAGCAGTGAGGGGAACGGCACCTCTGTACCTTCGGGCTCTGATCAGTCCCTACACCCAAACGAGGGCATTGCGTTCATCCACCTCTGGCCTGCTGGCTCCCCTTCCTCTGCGGAAGCATAGTTCCCGCTCAGCCCAGTCAAAACTGTTCGCTGCTCTGGCACCCCAATGGTGGAACAAGCTCCCTCACGACGCCAGGACAGCGGAGTCACTCACCACCTTCCAGAGACATTTGAAACCCCACCTCTTTAAGGAATACCTGGGATAGGATAAAGTAATCCTTCATAAAGCCTTTATAACCTTGTCATGCATCTTGGTAGAGCATTGCAAAGCCAGGATAGCGGGTTTGATTGCCGGGACCACCCATATGTAAAATTCTATACACGCATGACTGTAAGTCACTTGGATAAAAGCGTCTGCTAAATTGTATAAACACCATATATACAAAAGTATGTGGACACCCCTTCAAATTAGGCTAGTTCAGCCACATCCGTAGATGACAGGTGTTTAAAATAGAGCACACAGCCATGCAATCTCAATAGACAAACATTGGCAGTAGAATGGCCTTACTGAAGAGCTAAGTGACTTTCAGCACTTCCGTGTTATCGTCCTGATGTGCTGTTTTTTGTGACTTGGTTACCTGCCAAACTTTTCGTTTTTTACTTTTTATAACTGTTTAATCAAAACTCTGCATTTAACACATTTACAAACTTCTGTTTTATCCTCGCGCAACTTTTTTCATTCAACTTTTTCACCCAGCTTTATTACCTGGATACCAACAACTGAGCCAGGCTACGAAAAGCTCAACTCATACAACGCTCTCTATAAAACGACTAAAGGAAAGTGCTAATTTCCAGCATATGAGTGTGACTCCAATTGTTGGCCAGTAAATACTGTAATTGTATGTTTTGTATCCCCCACGACTACAGACACTGGGGACACGCCTGACACAGCTCTGAGAGGCTACACCGAACACAAACATGCAGCCGGGCCGGTGCGTAGAAAGGAACAGCCGGCGACCTGCCACTGATAACCGACCCAGACATCACCCGCCCCCCTGCGCTTCTCTCTCGCTCTCACATTCAACGAGGGACAGACAACAACACAGTTGTGCGGGGAGCTGGTGGGGGCGTCCACGGCCATGGAGGGAGCATCTAAGTCCCCAGTGGAGCTGGGAAAAGTTTGATCCCTTAGACTGTCGGCGTGCTGCAGTCAAAACACATTTGAATCTGCTGGGTACTCGCGAGCTATTAAATGTATAATATGCGACATTTTCGTTGTTGTCACAGGGAAAGGTCCGATGAATACCTTCATTTGTGTATGAAAAATGTATTGAACTTGATTTAGCTAAAGAAATTATTATTACTCTTCATGAAGAAATAAAACATTTGACCAAGCGCCTTGAACTGAATAAGGATTCAATGAGAATATCGACATCTTCAAATGCTTCCTATCAAAACATCCAAGAGGATCAAAATGGGACCTTCCTGGACTATGAACAATTTCCACAACTGCACCCCTCTACTATCTTGAACCA